AACGAACTACCCCCCGAGATCCGGACGATTCCGGATCTCCTTACTTTCCGCCGCGCCCTCAAGACATGGCTTTTTCAGCAAGCGGGCCTGGCCTAGGGAGGATTTTAAATTGGGTTTATCTTAAGAGTAATTTTAAATAGCACAGCTTTAAATATTCGGTTTTAATTGGTTTTACTTGGGTGGGGTTGTAAATGTGTTTGTTTTTTAATATGTTGTGAGCCGCCCTGAGTCCCGTTGGGAGAAGGGCGGGATATAAATCAAATAAAATAAATAAAATAAATAAATAAATAAATAAAAGAGCCAAGGTTGCCAACCCTGGTCTAGTTTATTGAAGCCTATAGTAACATCCTTACCAAAATTTGAACCAGTTACTTTTGGATATTGTTGCATGAAATGTGTGGTAACACAATTATCGGTTGCCTTCTACTATACTAGAGTTTGTCAGAGTCAGGCAGCATTGAATAAGTAATAATAATAATACTCCGAACAATTTATATCCTTTGATGATACCTTTAACATCATCCAACAACAACTGCCTTCCCATGTCCTGGGAAGGGCTCAATAGGTGGATAAAAATGTCAAATCCAGTCTAAACCTTTGGCTGGCTGTGTGATCAACCTTAATAAATATGATTTTACTGTTGAAAGCCGCTTAAAATCTATGATTGAAGCAACATGTCCTAAATAAGGATTAAACTTTATGTGTGAATCTGTCTTGTATGAAAGCTTGAAGGTTGTTTACAGTAATTATTTCAATCTTTCAGATAACCCCATTGCCATGCCATAGTGCAGGGCCGTATTCCTGCAATAGAGTCTGTGGAAGGTGGCTTGATTGTCAGAATCATACTTGCCTGAGAGAATGCCACACGGTTTCTAAAACAGATGCAAGCAATGACAGGCAAAAGGTAAGTAAACTTTTCAGTGGCAAACACAGTTGGTTTCATGATAAGACCCGAGCTTTCTTAACAGGTGCATGACATTACAAGTAGGGTATAGATGTATTGCATGGACCCTCCCAATGTAAAATTCTTTCTAATAGTAATAAAATTTGGAATACTGTTATTCAGTCTTGCTTGTTGTGCAGTGGTGGCATCAGACAGGGACCCCATGAATCAGTTAGTATTTAAGAATGGCAGAGCTCTACACGGCAGTTTAAATAGGATTGTAAATCTACTTAATTTTACCCCTGTCTCTGTCTATGCTGAGTGGAAATCTGTAGCTTGCTAGGGCTCGTGAAGGTTCAATTTGTTGAATTCCTTACCGGGTATTCTGGTAGATGATAATAGTAGTGACGATACAGATTTGCAGATGATAATAGAACACTGCTTGATAATTGTTGAGCCTCGTAACCCTATTTAGATTTTGCTGCAACAATTCTATTTTGGCTAATGCTGCTTTTTCTTTTCTTTTTTCTTCCACAGTGCTACAGAATACTCTAAACATTTCTGACTTTTAATATTAAAATAAAACTTTACCCTGTTCAAGGCCTTACTTAAGGCCTTGGCCCACCATTAAGCCATTAGTAGTATTTTTACAAACCTGTGGCAGTTTATTTTCTGCTTTAGGAAAAATCCTGATAATTGCAGTAGATGACTGAAGTAATGGCAAACTATATCATACTTGCCCTCTACATGTACTTCAAGCTCATCCTGTATGTTCCCCAAAATTGGAGCGTTAAGCAAGGCTTTTCAACCTTTTCACCCATTGTACCACTTTTAGGATATGGCAACATCCGAGTACCACCAGTCGCCTAGCAAGGTGTCAAAAACTTGATGATCCACTCAAAAAAGGAAAAAAGTGATAAAGTACAGGTAGTCCTCGACTTACAACAATCCGCTTAGTGACTGTTTGAAGTTACAATGGCACTGAAAAAAGTGCCCCCCCAAGCACAGCCGAGCAAGGCACCTGCCTGCCCGCCCGGCCGTGTTCTTCCTCCTGTCCGAGGTTTCCACTGTTGTGAGCATTTCTGTTGAGGATTGGCAGCGGGGGATGTTTGGTTTTTATTCCCCCCGTCTGCTGGGTGGTTGCAGCAGGTTTTGGTTACTTCACATGACCCTGGGACACTGTGACCGTCATAAATATGAATCAGTTGCCAAGCATCTGAATGTAAATCACAAGACCCTGAAGATGCCGCAACATTCCTGCTGATCGGCGCTACTTCTGGGCTCAGCAGAAGCTCCAGGATCAGCGCTGAGCTCCAGCTGGAGCCTGGCACTGATCCTGGTGCTTCTGCTCAGCCCTGACAGCCCTGCAGCTCCACCCATCTCTCGCTCAGGCTTGTGCGGTGCTGCCACCGGTTCAGCTCATTCCCCTCCCCCGCTACCACTTTTCTAGGATGGTCGCGTACCACCTGCCAGGTGCCAATGTACCACAGGTGGTACCCGTACCACTGGTTGAAAAGTCCTGCGTTAGTGTATAGGCATCTGAATCCTCTGTGGCTGACCCTGGATATACTTCCTACATCTTCTAGGTCAGAGTTCCCCAACCTTTCCAGGTTGGCGGCCTGGGGGAAGGGGGGGAAAGGAGATGGTTTTGTCGAGGGTCAGTGCATGCTCACATACAAGCACCCATTGCTCGCGCAAGTGGGGCCGAGAGCACCTGTGAGACTTGCACAAGTGAGTCCCCGAGAGCCCACAACACTCGCCCGAGTGGGGCCCTGAGTGCCCACAATGCTTGCACGAGTGAGGCTCTGAGCACCCACAACATTTGCGTGAGTGTGGCTGTGTGCACATGTGCATGTGCGCACATCAGCCAGCCACTCACACAGCCTGGTTGCGAATAGGCCATGGACCGGGAGTGGACCGTGGCCCACGGATTGGGGATCCTTGTTCTAGATTGTACCTGAGTTTTTCTTCCTTCCCATCACTCTCTACCTCTTTATTTGATTGGTTGTCTTGGGGTGTATGCTTTGGATTAGGTCCTAAAAATCCTAAAGATTGATCATCTTCCCCCTTCAGTTTTAGTTTAAAGCCCTTTGGATAAGCTGAGCCATTGGCTTTCCAAATACATTCTTCCCAGTTCTTTTGAGATGCAGCCCATCCCTTGCTAGAAGCTGTTATAGGTAATGCAGACTGTGATTTAGGAATCCAAAGTTCTCTTGGGCGGAACCAACCCTTGAGCCAATGGTTCAGTTCTAAAATCCTTTGTTCCCTCACTGGATATTGATCTTTTACTGGAAGTACAGATGAAAACATCACTTGTGCTCCTAACTCTTTAACTTTCTTGCCGAGTTGCTCATAATCTCTTGATATTGTTTTTAGGTTCACTGGCGTGTCGTTCATCCCCAGATGAAGGAGAAGAAAGGGATAGTAAATCTGTGGGCTTATTTTAGTAAGGTTCTCAGCCACATCTTTGATTTTTGTTCCAGGGAGAAAACATACCTCCCTAGATTGATTGTCGGATCTACAGACAGCTGATTCTGTAACTCTCAGAACTGAGTCTCCTATCACCAACACTTGCCTTTTTTCCCCTGGGAAAATCTGAGCTACTTTTCTTCTATCACAGGGACATTTGATGATGTCCTTTTTCCAGGTGTCTTCATGCTTTCTTCCAGGGGGAGGCTATGAAATTGATTGCTCAGCCCTAGTGGGGCTGCACTGGATTGGGCTGAACTAGACAGTAAGGGCATTGCTTTGGGTTGTTGTTTTTTTCTTCTATGAGTGACTGGTTTCCATCAGTCAATCTCTAAAGGTTATGTACAGGTTCACCTCTTCTAGTAGTTATTTGTTCCTTAATACGTTCAGTTGGATATAGTCTTCTTGCTTAGGTTGAAGTTTCTCATTCTGTAGGTTGAGTCTCAGAATACCTCGAGTTGCTTCTAGACCATTTATTTTTTCTTCCAATAATTCTTCTAGTCTACATTTGGAACATGTGTAATTTGAGTCCTCCATGGGCACGAGCACATACGTGGAACATATGTTGCAAATCAGTGCTAGTCTCTATTTCCATGACTTTTTTCTTTTCTTTTTGCTAGTTCGTTTAATTTTTTCGCTGGTTTTTCCATGACTTTTTTTTCCTTTTCTTTTTTGCTAGTTCATTTAAGGATCAAAAATTTTAAAAGTTTACAAAACGTTCCAAAAAAAAAAATAATTGTGAAAGATTTTTCCTTTTTTTAAAAAAAAATAAATCTAAATTTAAGTTTAAAAATTCTGAAAGTTTATTTAAAAATTGGGTTTTGTAATTAAATTTATTTAAAACTTTAAAAGATTTTTTTTCATTTTTAAAAAAAGTTTTGGAAGTTATAACATTTACACATTTTCAAATTTTTTTTACCAGAGGCACTTATAAAGGAAAAAAGAAGAAAAAGATTGTGCAGTTTATATTGAAAAGTGAAAAAGAGTACAGTTGATATTTATTTATTTATTTATTATTTAAATTTATATACCGCCCTATCTCCCTTACGGGACTCAGGGCGGTGAACAGGTAATAATAAAAATCACAGTAAATATTACATAAAAGCCTGCTCTAAAATATAGAACCCCTAACAAAACCCAATCAAAACTACGCCAGGCCGGCCGCATGGAACAGATGAGTTTTTAGGGCTCGGCGGAAGAGGCGCAGGTCCGCAATTGTACGTAGGTCGGGGGGCAGGTCATTCCAGAGGGCAGGAGCTGCCACAGAGAAGGCTCTCCCCCTGGGGGTTGCCAGCCGGCATTGGCTGGCCGACGATACCCTAAGGAGGCCCTCTCTGTGGGAGCGGACTGGTTGAAGGGAGATATTTGGTAGGAGGCGGTCTTGCAAATACCTAGGTCCATTGCCATGGAGCGCTTTAAAAGTTGTTACTAACACCTTGAAGCGCACCCGGAAGGCCACCGGCAGCCAGTGCAGCTCGCGCAGGAGAGGTGTTACATGGGAGCATCTAGAGGCCCCCCAAATCCCCCGCGCAGCTGTATTCTGAACTAGCTGGAGCCTCCAAGTGCACCTCAAGGGGAGCCCCATGTAGAGAGCATTGCAATAGTCCAGTTCTATGATACAAAAGAAGAGATAATAAATGCTGAGTTGCTATGATTTATCTCCCCGCTCTCTCGCGCTCTCTCTCTTCAGCATAACAAAGGGAAGGGCTACTTTCTCCCCAACAAAATATCCTGAGATTTACAAGAGAACTTCTTTTTGCAGGAAATCTCTGGCTGCTTTTTAGGAAATGCTTTGCTCTTATGCTTCTACTCCTCTACACACATGCCAGAGGCGGCACTCGGAGCCCTCTCTGTGCGCACACGCACCGTCGCCCCAGCCCCACCTCCTCCCATGGCCCCCTCCTCACCAGCAGCCCCCCCAGAGGAGAGTCGCCCCCGGGCATGGCCCACGTGAAGCACCGCAGCCAAGGACATGGTACCCGGGCAGCGGGGACAAGACTCTGCTCTTGAGCCCCGTCGCGCACAAATGATGCTGCGGGGCATGAGTGGAGGGTGTGGCTGCCATGGCGCTGTTAGGCCGCCTGGGTGATCTGTGGCGGGCTGTGAAGGTGGTGGGTGGCCCAGCGGGCAGGGCGGAGCAGGGACGGGTGAGGGGGCGATTTTGGGGCACTCGGTCTCTAAAAGGTTCGCCATCACTGCTCTACTCCCTGCCTTTGTGCTGGCTGCTGCTCAGCTGGTCTGCCGCACCGCTCTCAGCTGCTGGTCCACTGCCACCAGCTGTGTTCCGTCGCCACTCAGCTCCGTGCTGCCACTGTGTAGCTGGCCTCTGTTTGCACTGGGCCACCCCCACTCAACTGGCCTCTGACTGCCTCAGTGCCCATCCTGGACTCTCTGGGCCCTGGGCTGCTGGCTGGGCCGTTTCTCAGGCAGCCGGTAGTAATGGCTCCTAATGCTATAGTGCAGAGGTGTCAAACTCAATTTTATTGAGGGCCGCATCAGCATTGTGGTTGCCCTCGGAGGGCCAGGTGGCCAGGGTGGGTGCAGCCTACTGAGGGCGTGGATGTGGCCTACTGGATGAGTGTGGCCAGCTCTACATTGTTCGCGTCAATGGTGCCTGTGGGGGCCTGGGTAGGAGTGGGACAGATCTGAGGGTCTCTGGCAGAAGGGGGTGGGACCAGGACCACTTCCAGGTGATGATGCATTTCTTCATTCCTCACAAAGGGTGACACTTCCCCAGCATGTACCCAGGGGGCGGGGTTGACACGGCAGGGGCTGGTTCCTCGCTGTTTCCAGACGGCCTTGTGGAGCTAAGACTGAATGCGTTTCAGCATAGATGGCCACCACAAAATTGTACATTGGCTCCCTCCCGGCCGGCCGGCCTGGGCCGGGGCCAAGGTAGCGGGGGCCGTTCCCTCACCGTTTCCAGGATGGCTTCGCGGGCCACATGAAACCGCTTCGCAGGCCGCATCTGGCCCCCGGGCCTTGTGTTTGACACATGTCTGCTATAGTGTAAAACAGAAGACATTGCAAATAGCAGGTTCACGTGGACATTTTTCTTTTCAACATATTTAAATAGTGGTAACTTCATGACTCAAATCGACCTTTGCTCAATAGGGGTAAAAAGCAATGCAAATGCATTGGCTTTGTGCTTAAATGCCACAGTCAGAATCAGACAACCAGTTCGTTCATTTAACCTTTCTGAGATTAACATTTGTGCCATTAACCATTCTTTGTTCCGGCTCCTGTGTTTTGTCAGCTCTTAGTTTAATTATCTCTTAAATTTTTCTAAAAGATGTTATCTCCTGCTAAATGCAGTGCTCCTTTCCGAGTGCTTTGACCCTCTCACTTGTTACCCTGGGTACCCTTTTACACCAAGGTGATCGCTTAATGTAGAAAAAAAGCAAACAGAAAACATTCTTTCTCTACTCAGCAAGCTTAACCTTTCGTCCAACTGCAGATTCATTTAGGTTGCACAGAAGCTTCCCCTACCCGTCCCTTTTTTAGGAATGACTTTCAGGGTGGAGAACAAAAGTCCACATGGCTTCTGCATATGTATTTTTTTTATTTTTTTAGGTTTCAGGCCAATGTATTAACATTTTGTCACTTGACCGAGCCAAGCATCTTTACATACATTTAAATGAACAGATTGTCCCCCAAAAAAGCAAATAAATTATAAATCATGTTTTGCTATTTTACTAGGCAGGTCCAGAATGTTCTCAGTGTGAAGAAGGATGTTCCAAGCCACGACCCCCTGGGTGTTCTCATGCGTGCCCTCTGCCATGCCATCCTGGAGAATGCCCGCCGTGTGCCCAAATGATCCGAATAAAATGTCACTGCAGACTGACAAGCCTGTACATTGAATGCATGTACGTAATGAAAGGATTCTAGTTTGTCTGTTTCCACTTTGGGTGATGAAGCTATTTTTATTTAGGTTTTACCCTGTTGTGCCGAGATGTGGGTTCACCCACCTCCCTTTCTCTTTCTGAATAAACAGAATCATCTGGTGGAAGGCAACTGCACCAGGGGATATTTTAATAGTTGTGTGTTAGTCCCATCTGGTTGTTTATGTTTTAATCATATTCTATTTGTAGCCTGCCCAGAGTCCCCTAGAATGGGCAGCTGTAAATGAGGAGGAGGATGGAGAAGGAGGAGGAGGAGGAGGAGGAGGAGAAGAAGGAAGGAAAGAGGAGGAGGATGAAGGAAGGAGAAGAAGAAAAAAAAAATTGGTTTTATTGTTTTTTTGGGGGGGGGGGGGCTGTTTGGAATGGTAGATGGAGGTACCAATTTCCAGGGTTTTCCTTCAGACTTGATTCAAACTGATATACTAGCAGGAGTAAAACAAACTGTCGTTTTACTGCACTAGAACAGAGGTCCTCAACCTTTTGGGCACCAGGGACCGGTTACCTGGAGAGAGATTTTTCTGTGGACTGGAGGGTGCGTGGTTTTGTGTGCTGCCTGCATCCTGTGGATGGGGCTTTCCTTGTTTGTGTGGACCGGTTGCTGGCATGCCGTGGCCTGGTATTGGTCCACGGACCGGGGGTTGGGGACCCCTGTACTAGAACTTTGTACTGTCTGGCTCATCTACCTTTTTGACTTCTTTTTGCTTGCTGCTTATGTTTCAGAAATAAAAGTCTTGAAAAACTAGGTTTAAAGGTTAAATCTAGGACTATTATTTTTGGGCATGCAGGGTTAGTAGTCAATTTATCCTAATTATCATGCTAGATGGGATCAAAGCATTTTTACCAAACCTCTCTGAGATACAGAGGGCATTTCAGGTGTTGCCTTATAGAATTTCTTCATTTTATGCTCATGAGATTATCACTTAATCCGATATTAAATCGGATTTATTTGATTGTTCAAACTCAATCTGCATTTTTTTATCCTCACCTGTTTTATATCTGCTTTCTCAGTTCAGCATCGATATGTTGATAGAAAATAAGATAATGAATAAGTTAAACTTGCTGTTTAAACTTGCTGTTTATTTTATCTCTCTCTTTTTTTATGAATGACCATTGATTTATATTTCTTCAGAAAAATCACTAATGCTGATGCAAAAGAAAAAGAAGAGCTGAGTTCATGCAAAAACCAGTGCCCCAGAGAGGTAAACCCTAAAAGAAAAAAGCATTTGAATCTATTGATGGCAGTGATGTAGCATTGGAAATTGATAAGTAGCGTCATGGCAGATTTCAAAAGTCATCTGAAGTGCCTAAGCCAGTGATGGCGAACCTTTTAGAGACCGAGTGCCCAAAAACTGGCCCCGCCCCCGCTCCACCCCACCCTGCCTGCCTGCCAGGCCACTCACCGCCTCCAGGGCCCGCCACAGATCGCCCAGGCAGCCCAGCAGCACCATGGCGGCCACACCCACTGCCTGCGCCCCGCAGCATCCACTGTGTGTGATGGGGCGTGAGGGCAGAGTCTTGTCCACGCTGCCTGGCTGCCATGTCCTTGGCTGTGCTGCTCCACGTGGGCCATGCTCCGGGGCGACTCTCCTCCAGGGGAGCTGCTGGTGAGGAGGTCGCGGTGGGAGGCAAGGCTGGGGCAATGGCACGTGTGCCCACAGAGAGGGCTCCAAGTGCCGCCTCTGGCACCCGTGCCATAGGTTCACCACCACTGGCCTAAGCCATGTATGCCCATTGATAAATGCATCCAGTGACTTTAATTCTAAAAGCTAATGGGGAAGAAGAGTCTGTGGGTTGATTTGAATAGTAAATTCTGAAGGAATGCTTAATGTCTGGTGACTGCATGGATGAATCTACATTGTTATCTTGGTATTCGCCTGGAAAGAGTTTTGCATTAAAATGAATTGTATAGAAAATTTCTTACCATCCTTGGCTCAGAGGGCAAGGAATTTAAGTTTACTGTATAACCCACAAATGCAAGTAAGCAAAACTGAGTATTTATGTTTCGTGCCAGACACATAATATTTCTCTCGGACTTTACAGCTGCCTTGTGGTCATCGATGTAAAGAGATATGTCATCTAGGGGAGTGTTGTCAGAATTGTAATCAGAAGGTTAAGATCCGTTGCCCTTGTAAGAGACTCAAAAAGGTAAGCTACATTGATGTGATATAACTGTATCATAAACAAGGTTATTGTCTTTTGTATGATTTTATTCGTGAAATGTGATTTACCACTGAGGGACTTTCTGGAGCAATTTTAGAAGGTCACACGAGGAGAAATCAGCTTAGGATTTACTATAGGTCAGCGGTTCTCAACCTATGGGTCGCGACCCCATTTGGGGTCGATTGACCATTTCACGGGGGTCGCCAAGCAAGGCTGTCCGCCATTTTTTCCCCCTTTTCCGGCGGGTGCCTTACCTCCCTTGGGCTGGGCCAGCTGGTGGTTGGCCTGCTCCGTCTCTGCCGCTTGCCAGCTACACCTCGGCCGGCGCAGGGGGCGGAACCACGCATGCGTGGCGCTCCCGGGCAGGGAAAGTCCTCGACTTACGACCGGTTGGGCAGTCCTCGACTTACGACCGGTTTAGTCCTCGACTTACGACCGGTTTAGTCCTCAACTTACGACCGGTTTAGTCCTCGACTTACGACCGGTTGGGGGTCGCGGTATTAAAAAGGTTGAGAACCACTGCTATAGGTAGTCCTCAACTTACAACCGCAATTGAGCCCAAAATTTCTTTTGCTAAGTGAGACATTTGTTCAGTGAGTTTTGTCCCTTTTTATGACCTTTTTTGCAACAGTTGTTAAGTGAATCACTTCAGTTGTTAAGTTAGCAACACGGTTGTTAAGTGAATCTGGCTTCCCCATTGACTTTGCTTGTCAAAAGGTCGCAAAAGGTGATCACATGACCCTGGGAACACTGCAACCATCATAAATATGAGTCAGTTGCCGAGCGTCTGAATTTTGATCACGTGACCATGGGGATGCCACAACAGCCATAAGTGTGAAAAAAGGTCATAAGTCACTTTTTTCAGTGTCATTGTAACTTTGAACCGTTACTAAATGAATTGTTGTAAATCAATCACTCTCTGTATACTGCTTTTTCTTTTTTTAAAAAAAGTTCATTATAATAATTAATATCAATATTTTTATTGTATTTTTAGTTTTGTTTGTTAAGCTTAACTCTAATTTATAATAAAGCTATATTAAAGATAACAAAAGCATAAAATAACAAACAAATATACACTGTATAAATTAAATGGTATAACGTACTATATTTTTAGGTCTGTAATAATAATACAACAGTATTATTAATTAACATTTAGCAACAATAACAGTTTTATTAAATGTGTATGCCACCCAACTCTGGGTGTATACACATTTAAGTGCAAATTACAAGATGAGTCTTAGTGTGGTATTTTTTTTAAAAAAAACACGTATGTGTGCTTTTCATTTTTTCTTTCTTGAAGTCATCCTTAATTGGAAAGAATTCTCCAAACTCCTTCCTTTCAGCTCTTTGTATTTATTTATTTATTTGGCTGCTTTGTACAGGACTTAGATAACATATTATAGATGCAGTTGAAATAGTGACAACAGAAGCTCTTTAAGTCCTGTGTTATTTATGGCATAATTAATGTAGAACTGAAAAAAATGGGTAATTATTTCATCTAATCACTTGCATACGGCTGGATGTGATATTTTAGATTGGTGATGACATGCTAGCCGGATAGAGAAAGAAAGGCAGAAGGTTAAATTCCATTTCACGACAGGCATCAATTGAATATCTGTTTAGTTATCCATAAAAATAAATGTGTTTTTCTTCCTTGAATGCTACTAATTATGCTAATAGGATATTCTGAAATTAGCCAGGCAGCATACTTCTGAGAGTCAAGCAGATGCATCTGTCATAAACCTGTGTCCTGTATTAATATTCATAATATAAATATTATGAGTAGGTTTTGAATATTGAATTAAATTAGGAATTTAATTCAGTCTGAATTGAATTCAGTTCACACTCTGCTAGAGAAAAGTTCCCTGAGGATGGGGGCTTCAGCATAAATCCGAAAGCTTGGAAGACCTCTGGTCCCAGTTACCGACCCAGACTGGATCCTGTAAATCAGGAATTCATTGTGGGAAATTGTTTAGGGCTCTTAATGTGTGTTGAATATCCATCTAAAGCAATCCAATTAAATGCCAATGATGATTAACTTAATTCCATGTATTACTAAGTGACATGAATGAAAAAGGATGTTCAGTTCCTAATAAAATGTAGCATTATGTTATATTGGGCTTTTTTTGGTATAATGTATATGTTGACTATTTTCCAGACTATTTGCCAGATAGCGAACAACATAAAATACATTCAGTACAGTAGAAAATGCAGATAACAACAACAGTAATAATAATAATAATAATAATAATAGTAATAATTTGTCAATGCCAGTGATGTCCAAGTGGTGCTCCAGTTGTTTTGGGATTGCACCCAATGTACCAATAGTAATAGGTGCCTTGGGTGCAGTCCCAAAACAACTGGAGCACCACTTGGACACCATTGGCATTGACATTCGCCATCAGTCAATTGCAAAAGGCAGCCTTACTAGGAACAGCTTCTATCCTGCGACAATATCTGTAATACCATCAATTCAAACTTCTACATCTGTCTATCCCAGGTCCTTGGTAAGGACTTGATAGGTAGACAAAAATGCCAAATTCAGTCTGAACATCTGGCTGACTGTGCAATGAATAATAACAACAACAACAAAAATAACAATAATAATAATAATATAAAGACCTACAAATAGAAATAGAAAGACTGTGGCAAAGGCAAGCAAGGGTAGTACCAATAGTAATAGGCGCCTTGGGTGCAATCCCAAAACAACTGGAGCACCACTTGAACACCATTGGCATTGACAAATTCACCATTAGTCAATTGCAAAAGGCGGCCTTACTAGGAACCGCTTCCATCCTGCGACGATATCTGTAATACCATCAAACATCCACATCTGCCTATCCCAAGTCCTTGACAAGGACTCGATAGGTAGACAAAAATGCCAAATCCAGTCTGAACATCTGGCTGACTGTGCGATGATCCATAATAATAATAATAATAATAATAATAATAATAATAATAATAATAATAATAATAATAATAATAATAATAATAATAATAATAATAATAATAATAATAATAATAATAATATAATAGCCGGATAATATGAGATGGATTGATGCCATAAATTAAATTAAATATAACAACAGTGAGGGCCCTTTTGGCATCTGCATTAACATAATATGAGTAACAGTTTGAAGTAAATTCCCAAATTTTAGTTTATTTTGAGACTAAAATATAGCAAGATATAAATTGGCAGATATATTTTTCAGCAGTTGGTATGGCAAACAATCTTTAATAGATAATTCCTGAAATAGAATTACGATAGTGATC